TTTTTTTTTTCGTAATGATTGAAGTTTTGTTTGATTAGGAAAAATATATTAACCAATACCGAAAAAAAAATCAAACAATTTTTACTATTCTTTTAAAATTAATGAGCTTGTTAACTGTTTTCTTAATAATATACATATTTTTTAATAATATTGAAAATATTGAATGTAAACGTGTTTATGTACAAAGCACATACAAATTAATTTTAAATCAGTGAAAAATATATTCGGAAAGCTTAAACAATTTGTGACATTGTCTTTTTCGTTTTTGATCTACTTATTGTTCTCTTAGTCTTTCTAAATGTTAGAAAAAAAATCTGATTTGCATGTTTTGAAAAATAATTTGAACATAGTGTCGAATTAGCAGGTTGAACGAGTGTCGTTATTAGTTGGTGATTTGTTTTGCCGTCAGATTTTTTGAATAGGCTGACTTATGAATGCCATGCACTTATAATGATTATTATTTGCGTTCGCAAAGCTTCTTGTTTCTATCGTTAAGACGAAAAAACCACAGTTGCCAGTTCCGCATGCTTTAGCATAAAATCTTTCCGCGAGTATTAGCTTCCGAAAGAAATTTTATTTGTGATTTTTAGGAACAATTTCAGTCGGTATAGTGTGAACTTGAATTGAACTATTTGTAAGACTTTTTCATCATAATAAGTATGTATATTGTATATTTATTTTTTTATAATTTTTAATTAGAATTCATATTTTTATTATAAACATGTGGTAATATTTTATCTGTATAGTTATTTGTTCCAATATTTTTTTACTGTGTTCGTTAATATAAGAAGAAAAACAATTATTTTATCATACAAGATTATTCTAGTGAGTTGAATGAGTCTTTAAAATCCATGGTTAATGTATCCTATGGGTTGAAGCTATCGTGGTTTTAATCTTAATTGAATGGTTTTTGGGACCTAATTTACCGTGTATTCTACGTATAATGTCCCTTTCTAGTTGATTGTTGTTTATTAAGGATTTTTATTTTTTTTTTTTTTTCATCCAGTCGAAAATATAAGATATTTTATTGTCATTGTTTATTTGTAAATGAGGTATGAACCATGAAATATTTATGTTTGTCATTTATCATTTTAAATTTTTTTTTAATAAGAATACAATAATTATTGAATATTGGATTTAAAAAATAAAATATTTATTTATTAATTTTGTATCGTTGAGCTATTATAGTTTTATACTAGAAGCTATTAATAAAAAAAAAAAAAAAAAAAATATAAAAAAAATTTAATAATTTATAAATAATGATTTAGTGCTAACTTTATTTATTGCATTTTTAATCTAGTATTTATAATATTATCATTAATTTTGATTTTATTGAATAGATTTTCATGTTTGTTTCCTTATAAAATTCTTTTTATACTAGTATATTTATCGATGTTTTAATTTATTAATATATTGTTGATATGTATATTGGTTTGGTATTTTAAGCTTTGAAAGATGTATAGATTTGTTTCATTGTTTCATATATTTTCAAGATAAATTTTGCAAACTTTTAGAATTACTCTTTGAGTTTTTAATCGATCATTCAATGATTATTATTGAGGTATTCATAAGAATTATTTTTTTTATTTTATTAGCTTTTTGCATAACAATTATATTCATCGTATATCTTCACAATGTAATATCTATGAACACAAAGTGTATGTTAAATACAATTTTTATTAAAAATTAAATGATCATCTATAATAAATAGTGTTTATAATCGTATTATTACATTCTGACAGATCTTCGAGATATCTCAAATCTTATAATAGTAGACATAAGTATGCGAAAGATTAACTTAACTTATTAGATTTAAAAAAATATGGTAAAACTTTTTATGTACTTATAAGTTAGGAATTTGATTATTTTTAATTTGGATAATAGATCTAGGCAACAAACTTTGTTGTAGGGTTATTGTAGTTGCATTTAAGAAATTTACTGTTCGGTATTTTGTTTTAAAATCTGTTCGTTATTTCAAATACTCATTATAGTTCTATGTGATGATAATGAAATACAATTTGTAGAGGGGAGAATCATAATTGTTTATGTAACTATTTTTATTCTTAAAAGTAAAATTAGTCGAAAAAAATATTTATTCATCATAACTACCTTTGAATCATTGAGTTTTTAAAAGTTCCTAATTTATATACAAACGTGAGAATAATTATTCCTGGAATATAACTTTGGCTTATTGTTATATTTATAATACTATATTGTTATATAAGAGAATTGTACCAAAATCAGTTATTCTGTTGAACTGAATTTGTTGATCCCCATCAAATGCTTTGTTTTTCAGTTCATATTAAATTTACTCCAAAAAAGGAATATGTTGACGGAATACTAGTTTGTGTTAATTTATACATTTGAAAACTTAAACCTTTGCTTTATTTCTCCTGGTTTTGAGTAAAAATAATAACTATTTTTTAAAACTGTATACATTTTTCCATATTTTATGTATTGGAATTTACTTATTTACTAACCTAGAATAAATTCGATCTATTTCTTATTTTCTTACGTATTAATGTTCTTTTGATTTTGCCTAGTCGGGCTCTCAAAATTTACTTTTTTTTGATCTTTGTTGGTATTATCTTAATTAAAATCGGTAATAATGGTGTTAGAAAATTATGTGGCAACAATTTGACGTATTTTAAGATTGGTTTCATACTTAACTAAAATATTTTCAAGTGAAAAATCATACTTCGGTTTTAAGGAATTTTTTAAGCAGTCATTTGTTAACTTAATTTTTGCCAAAGAGTTATGTTGTATCCTTAATTTTAAAGATCACACTTATTGATATAAATCATGATAGATGATCTAAATTCACTATTTTTTAGAAAACCCGCCAATAGGAACACTTCATATTGATTTATTCAGACTATAAATATATATGTATATATGACTGCATAATATTTTTATTAAGACCAGAATCTAAAAAAAAAATACCATTATATTACAAAACTTAAATTCGAACTTCCAACTTTTGTTACATTTATTTTTGAAAAGTATATTATCGTATATTAATAAGAACTTTAAGATCACTCCAGAGAAACTTGAAGTACTAGTTTATTAATATTAAAATATATTGATGTATAAAATTTAAAATAAATTGAATTGTTATTTAAATTTATAATTATACTTCTTTAAATTTTTATATTTAATTGAATAGATCTATTTTATCTCATAAGATAATTAAATTTAAATGATCTCATAAATGTAATTAAATATAAAATATGAAATTAATAATTACAAATAAACGTATTATGTTTTCTTGTAAAATATATACATATAAATAGATTTTTTTATTTATTTTATGTTTTGAATATTGTGGTGTCACATTCATACAATAACATATAATATAAATTACAAATTTCGCAATCAACGAAAAACATGAAAAGGGAAATGAAAGATGAAAATCAATTTATAAAAAGTATTTATAGGTATAACGTTATTAATTGACTAAGGGTGATCGTATACATTTTAAAAAACGGTCGTAAATATTCATATTAATTACGTACAAAATTATGATGTAGTTAAGCCTATGAGTTTTTTAATTTTTAACCTTGGGTGGGACTGAAATCACATTATTCCAGTCTCATTCATTATTTTCATTCGATAACGGGAAAAACAAAATCGTATACGTTCTACAAATTCATAAAATTTTGTATTAAATATTTGAAGAAAAATTCCAAAAATTCCAAATTAGTCGAGCTGGGGTATGTATGTATCGATTTCGATAGTAACATAAATAAGAGAAAAATATTTATAGTATTAGCATTTTTTATATTATTTGATTTATTAGTTAACAGTAAGACTAAAGGTGAGTATATTTTGTCATTTCTGGATACAAAATTCATAATTGTTACACTGAAAATAAGTCTTTGAGTATCCTTTTTATTCAAACCCCAATCTAAATTAATATTTCGTTACTTTTTTGTCTGAATTACCCTAAAAACTTAAAAATAAAAGAAAGCTTAATCAGTTTTGAAAAATAGTAAAAGTGGTTTGTTATTTCACATTAGACTAAATTTTTTGATTAGATATGTAATTTTTTAATATTGTATGAGTGAATAGAACATTTTTTTTTTTTAAATATCTGTGTTTATAATTGGTAATATATATTAAGTAATTTATTTGTACTTAATATTTTTTTGAACACATTATATACGTTTTCTCTTAAATTGTTAAATTCTTAGGTTCGTGATTTTTTTTTCATACATTAATGTAGATAATATTTTATGGGATATTCCTTAATTATTATTTTGATATTTGTCATTATCAATATATTTCTTCTAGACTTTGAATGAGTACAAGTAACAAGTAATTTGTTGATTTTATTATAAAAATTTCATTTTGTCCGTGATAACTTTTAGTCAGTAAATTTGTATTAAAAATTTCATATTAAATCTTATAAAATTAAAAATTGGATACAAAATACCTATGGCATTTTATATATAATTTTATTTTTTCCGTGATGAACGAAAAAACTGAAAAAAAACTAGTTATTAGTTTTAAAAATAGGGACATTTTTTTAGGGAAAAGCATAAAGACTAAAAAAAATTAATATTATGTCAAAATCAAAACATAAATTATCATTAAGTTATTTCAACCAGTTTTATAAAATAAAAACATTTGGTATAGTAAATTAATTTTTTTAAGAGTATTTGAAAGTTTGAAATAGGGTCTGATTATAATAACAAAATTTAAACTTGATAATGATAACTTGTTCTTTTTTAAAAATCGTTGCCATAAAAATTAATATAGACTAAATAGTTATCAAATATTTAGTTTTCATGAATAATGGCTTTGTTATGTGTGATGATTATAAAATATTAAAAAAAATACATCAAATATAGTGTACTATTTTTATGTAATATTTATGTAATATTTTATGTTAATTGCAATTAATTTGATTTAATTTTTTTTTAATATTTACAAATAATACAGATAACCTAATTAGGTTTTATAACTATTAAAATTGTAATAACTTACATTTTTTTTAGGGTTAAACAAATGCCTGCCAGAAAAGGATTATTGGCACCACAGAATACATTTCTGGATACTATCGCAACACGATTTGATGGCACACGTAAGTTCATTTAATTTTATATTATTTATAATTTTTATAAATTATCATACAAAAGGGTCATTGACAATTAAAAAGCCATAGTTATTCTGAAAAAATTATTTTTAAACTTTTCTGTTGACTATTATATAAGCCAATAAAAATATTCTTACTTTTAATAGTTGTTAAGTAATTCGTAAAATAATTCCTAATAATTTAATAGTAAATATGGAATTTGATGGCTAATTATAGTATTCCGTATTGCAAAAAAAAAAAGTATAACTGCACCTATAGCATCAATTAACATTTTTCAAAAACAGATGAGAATATTTTTCTTGGTGCATTAAGTATTATAAAAATGTAATATAAATAATGTAAAATAACAAGCAATGTAACTTTAAGTATAGTTTAATTAAACTCCCGTCTTGCCGTATTTTTGTATATATGTCTTAAATGTCGGTAATATAACTAATATAATAATTCAATTTAATATATTTTATTCAATATATTACAAAATTCGTTAAAATCATGTAATGCATACGTTAACGTTTACTAAAATCTTGATTGGTGTGTTCGTGTCAACATTTACCAAAAACATTATATTTGTGTATATATCACCATTAGCTAGTAAGTGTCTAAAATATTTCAATAAATCCACGTTCAACATGTAGGTAGTGTACATTCTTAGTTACATTATTAATCCTGATTTTTATTTATATTTTAAATTACGAAAAAAGCTGATAAAACCGTGACAGTATCGAGTGTTCGTCTTTTGTGTTAGTCGTGTTATTCATTGTACTATTTATATTAATTTTAAATGTTAAATTATATTAAACGGAAGTAAATTTGAAGTATGCAATTACTGAATATTATAATATATTATACAATTATATTTTTTAACAACAATAGTAAATAATTGTAAAAACTATTATATAATAAAAATGTCACGCTTTTACTATAATACTTTTCATATTTTGGCTAAATAATGCAATATTTTTACACAATTTTTCTCAATAAATAAATCAACATAATCAGATAATGTATCAATAACAAATATGATAATTGTATCAACGAACAAATAATTATTTAGTCGATTTAAGTTAACATTTTGAATGATTTAATTATTTATTGACTTTTTCATCATTAAACTAACTATGCAACTGTTAATACGATGTGTTACTAATTCAAAATTTATTACATGTCAACAAATAAATTCAAGCACAAAATTCATTTTATGTAATGTTTGTATGTTAAAATTATATTTAAATAGTGAAAATTCACAATTTACATATAAATAACAATACAATTTTGAAAAATTCCTGTTATTAATTTCTATATTTTATGATGATAGAATCGAAACAAAAGACTAAACATTCTTTAATATCCATGATTAGTTAAATGAAGAACATAATTTTGAATTTTATATTTTAAAGTGTTCTAGCATAAAATCAGCAGAATATTTTATGACTATCATTAATAATAAATACTTATATTGTTAACGAATCGCGTTCCGAACGTCACTCGATACACACGCGTATAATCTCTTCCTGTGTTTTATTCACCTAACACGTCAAATATAAATATTTATTTTTCATTTTTACATGGTTAAAACGGAAAAAAATAACTCTAAAAGTTACTAATATTCTAAAGAAAATTCTTCTTAAATTACTAGTGTAAATAAAAAAAAAAACTAATAATTATAATTAACCAGTTAATTAAAAATAATGTAAAAGTGTCCAAGACCACCGGGACGCCCCGGCTATCAGCTTGCGGCCAAGTATCGACGACCAGTCAACGCACCTTATCTTCTTCAGATAACGTTAACCGTAATATTATAATGAACTACAAAAGTCCATCCACTCCCAAAAAAAATAAAAACAATCAAACAACTTATTCCGATTTAAATAATCTTCCAAGAAACTCGCACACAAATCGCATATAGAGCGTGTCAAATGACGTTTTCAATTCTTTCGAAGAAATTAATAAAGACGGATTTGTAACTCCAAAATCAAAAAACACCTCTAAACGTAATAATTCGTCTTCCGATTCTCCGGACACTAAGAAAATGTTCATTACAGTTAACAAATTTGCCCCACTTACAAGACGTAATAGTCAAAATTAACACAATTTTACAGAAAACAAAAATGACGCACATATAAATGACATAAACATTGAAGCCTCCGATGAAACACAAAATATCAAACAAAAACTTCCCCCTCAAATTATTGTCAAAGGTATACTAGATTTTGCTGGTTTTCGAAACAAGTTAATCAATTTAATCGGCCCGGAAAATTTCACATTTAAATCATCTACCAACAATTTAAAAATCCAAACTACCAAACCTGAATTTTATCGCGAAACAATTCGTTACTTAAAAGAAAAAAATGCACAATACCATACTTACCAATCACAGGATGACAAAGCATATCGAATAGTTATTCGAAACCTTCACCCAACTACACCAACAGTGGAGATCGGAATCGCTATTGAAGAAATTTGATTTTCGGTACACCAAGTAACAAATGTTCTTCATAAAACAACAAAAATCAATCTTCCTATATTTTTTTTCGACCTTGAACCAGCGACAATTAATACTGATATATTCAGTGTAACTTTACTTCTCCACACTAAAGTAAAAATAGAAGAACCATACAAACGAACAGACATAATCCAATGCATGAATTGCCAAGACTATGGCCACTCAAGAAAATATTGCTCCTACACACCAAGGTGTGTCCGTTGCGGCGAAGAACATCCATCTACCCACTGTGTCAAAACCAAGGACTTGCCGGCCAAATGTGCTCTCTGTATGAGTAATCGTCTAGCAAATTACAAGGGCTGTCAAGTATGCAAAAATCTCACACAACTTCGTAAGCCTACTTCAAATAAAAATAATAATTATACAAATAAAAATACTGTAAAAAATGTTAAAAATACCGATTGTGAAGCCATCCAACAGCCCACTACCAACACGTTTATACCTCAAAGACTCAACTATACATACGCACAGGCTACCTCCCCTAATAATTCATCCCAAATACCAAATAATTCTATAAATGAAAATGCACTCTTTAATTTTTTTAATGAGTTTAAATCACTCATAAACCCACTACTATCTTTACTCACCACAGTTTTTAACAGTCTATTAAGTCAAAATGTCAAATAACTCATTTACTTCTCACTCTTTAGCCATCCTTATGTGGAATGCCAATGGATTAACAAATTATAGAAATGAACTTATATTAACACTAAATTAAAAAAGAATAGACTTATCCTTAATCTCTGAAATACATTTTACTACAAGTACTAAATTTTCAATAACTGGTTATAATCACCTCAAACCATCCAGATAACTTCTCCCACGCTGGTGCCGCAATTATTATAAAATTTTCAATACTATATACCACCTTTCCTAGTATACAAGAAAACTACCTGCAAGCTGCCATTTTGTCAATTAAATTAAATCACATTCCAATTACTATTGCTGCAACATACTGTCCACCCAAACACAAAATTATGCCACAGCAGTACGAAAACTTTTTTAACTATTTAGGTCACTATTTTATAGTCGGTGGTAACCTAAATGCCAAAGACCAATTCTGGAGCTGCCACATGTCTAACCTAAAAGGACGTACATTACTCCAAATAGTTAATCGAAAAAATTATACCATATTAGCTCCCCCCGATCCAACTTACTGGCCAACGTCTATAAATAAACGCCCAGATATTTTAGACATATTTGTAGTAAATATCCCTACGAGATTACAAAATGTTATAAATAACTATTTAGAACTATGCTCAGACCATACTTCAGTCCTTCTATCTCTAGATGCTCAACCTCCCCTACGGTCCCGACAAGCTAGCCTTACGGATGGTATTACGGACTGGAATAAATTCCGCGAAATAATTGAACAGACCATCAACCTAAAAACCCGACTAAAGTGTCCAAACGAACTTGAAAACGCTGTTAAACATTTTATGGATATAATCCAAACAGCTGCTTGGAGTTCCACTATTAAAAAACCGTGGAAAGCCCAAAACTCTTTCCCGATTCCTACCTATGTCCGTGAACTCATAGCAAAAAAACGACGAGCCAGATCCCTCTGGCAACGCACCCGCCTCTCGTCTGATAAGCAATCATTCAACAACCTTGCTTCTTCGCTCAAACGTATTTTAAAACAACTAAGAAATGATAATTTTGGTTCTTGGGTCTCTTCGCTTACATCGCAAAATTGTTCTCTGTGGAGAGCAACTCATACTTGTTTGAAACAAAAAACCACAAATTCCCCCCGTAAAAAGATTAAATAATACTTTTGCAAAACTGATGCAGAAAAGTGTGAAAATTTTCGATCTCATTTGCTTCAAGACTTCCAACCCCACAACATTGTCAATAATGTATTTGAAGATCATATTGTGAACTCTCTTACTACCCCATTTCCACTTTATCTAGCACCGAACCTGTTTCGCCGGGTGAAATTCATTACTACTTAAAACTATTCCACCCCAAAAAATCTCCCGGTTTGGACTTAATTACGTCAGAAGTAGCTTTGCAGCTACCCAAAAAAGCAATTATATACCTCACACATATATTAAACGCAATCATAAGACTATCCCATTTTCCTCTTCAATGGAAAACCGCTGTTATCATCCTAATTCTAAAACCAGGTAAATCTTCTGATACTCCGTGTTCATATCGACCGATAAGTCTCCTACCTCTCTTCGGTAAACTTTGTGAAAAGTTAGTATTAAAACGGATTTCTCCTTTTATAAATAACGTATCAGTTATACCACAAACTCAATTTGGTTTTCGTGAACGACACTCAACCATTCACCAAATACACAGACTGACTGACTGCATATCTAATTCTTTAGAAAAAAAATAATATTGCTCAGCAGTCCTCCTTGGTATAGCCCAGGCATTCGACAAAGTGTGGCATCCTGGTCTGTTGTATAAATTAAAAAAATTTTTACCTCTACCTTACTACCTATTTTACAAATCTTATCTTGAAGACCGTTATTTTGTG